ACACATAAAATCTATAGATCTATTGTATACAAACCTATTCTAAACTTAAAAAAATCAAAAAAAGGAGTTTTTTTAACAGTTCCAAGGAATTGGTCGAACACATCAAAATCACGACGGCCAGAGCTGCCGAGCGTTTAACCGCCGCCTAAGCGGCCGCTGCAGCCGCATTTTTGAACAGGGCATTTGACTAAATAAGAGAAATTGTACATTTGACTCTTCTATATTTCTTCACGCGGCGCTTTTCAAATCGTCCGGTTTACTTTTATTCGATGCAAACCGGAATACGGCATTTGAGTTTAGTCCGAAAATGATGGACCCAAATCTCAGATTGAAAAAATTGTAAACAACTATTCAATGCACATGACATCTCACTTACTTTAGCATAAATGATTGATTGATTGGTTACTTTATTTTTATATAGAAAAAGCAATACTACAAATAATCTTAAAATTTAAATGAGTACTAGTGATTTTCCTTTTTTTTAAAGATTTGCTATGTTGTCAAGTACCAGGGAACGAATCTTTCAGAAGATGTAGTTATGTGGATGATTGGTTGAATTGTAGTTATAGATTAATTGATGTAAAATTTGGATTGTATACGTTTTTGTTGTAGTGTTGACTTTTATCTGTAACTATTGTAAAATTAAAATATGGTTGGTAAGTCAAAATTGAATATTGGAAAAAGATGAACGTGGGTTCGTCTTTTGGGCTTCTTTAGATTTCAATTCCTTAAATGCGTGGCCCAATTAAGTTAATTTCGTTTGATTTTTTTTTCCAGATATCTTCCCAAGCGACAATTTTAACCAATTAAGAAACTTTGATGCAAGTTCAACAACATTGTTGCTTGGTTGATGCATCATAGCTTTCTCAATATGATAATTTGGGAGTTGGATGGATTCTTTAAAACTGTAGTTCACAGCCAATACTTGTTGGTTTAGGGTCTTTTTAGCCTACACAATTATCGGCTCATGGTGAAATTGAAGCTTTGAGGGTTGCGGTTATGGAGTTGCAAAGGCTAGGCTATCGGAATATCATTTTTTTGTGGAGATTTGCAAAAGCTCTATAGTTTATTGCAAGATTCAAATGTGAGCATGTCACATCCGAAGGTAGCAAATCTTCCATATATAGTGCAGTTAAATGATATTATTAAAATATCTCAGCGTCGTAATTTCACTTTTCTTCATATATCCTGAGAGGCTAATTGTCAAGCTGATCATCTAATTAAGCAAGGTAGAACACATTCTCAAAAGCTATATTGTAAAATGGCCGATATCAACGTTTTGAGGTTTGAAATAAAGTTATTGGACGATAAAAAAAAAAAAATTTTGAGGCATGTAAAACAAAACTTATGGTTTTATTTAATTGCCACGTGGCATCTTCTTAGATGATTCTTCTAATAGTTCTGTTTTTTAAATGATGGGTGTGAGGAGACTCTGTCAAACACTTTTGACTAACTTGGTTTGTCATTTTTATGTGGTTGTGAGATTTGTTATCTCGGATTTAGAAATTTATATTTTTCAAAAATATCTTTGTTGGATAGTATCTTTAAATCGGCAAAAATATATCATCGACCATCTTACATTTGACAAAATATATCGTTTTGTAAATAGTTCATTTATTCCAGTTTTAAAAAGTTGATTGATTCTTGTCATGTTACCTTGGTTTGGGGTTGATAATTATACATTTTTGATAAACCAAGCATTTGTTTTAATTCAAATGTTATCATGAATATTGATTCGAAAGTTTATAAACGCATGAATCATCAGACGAGGTTTTGAAGTCATTAAACTCTTTCATACGATCCAATTTGATGTGCACTTTTCATGTACAGTTTTAGTAAATACGAAATTGAACCACAAGAACCAAAGTTAGTTAGAAAAAGACAAACTTTGTTGATTTTATAACATTAAGAATTATGTTTTGTTTATTTGTTTGGTGAAAAGGCGAAAAAATTTATGTGCGTTTTTCATGAAAAGAAAATGTTTGTTTTTTTATTGTGTAGGAGAAAGTTTTGGTTGAATCCATTTGTTTGATGATAAAGAGAAAGAATTATAATGAATAAACTCTGAGTAG